TTATACAATTGCTCTAAACATGCCTAACAATATAAAAATAAGCAGTCACTACATGCAATGTAGTACCAAAGTATTCATAAGCATCTCATCAGTATGCTTACAGACAGATCAGACCTAGGGAAAATCATCTAATTCTAGTGAGCTCCAGCATGATCAGGCAGTGTTTCACAAACAACCTTCAGATTCATGGCTCTTTTTATATCCTTCAACTAATTTGCTAGCTTGACCAAAAATCCTATTTGAAGCTGTTTATCCTTCCTTCAAGCCTTCCCTTCTTATCTCCTCACTGCTCCTTGCTTATTAACAGAACAGTGGAAAGGTTTATGCTTGTTTCTTTTAAGACAGTTTTTATTGGTCTTGTTAGTGTAGCTCTTTATTTTATTAGTCACTTTTTTAACCAAACAGCCTTCCCACAATACAAGCAATAAGTAATACTACTCATTATTCTCATGACCTCCTTTCACTTACTTATTGGGACCTTTTCCTTACAAGACAGTAACATAAAGCAAATATATTATTTTCTTAACCAGACTTAAGCTTAATTTAATTATTTTCATTTCATAATTACCCCCTAATATGCATGAAGGCATAAATAAGATATGCAAGTGATCTTTTCCACAATCACCTACAGGAAGAAGACTGAGCAGATTATGCTGTGCCTTATCCAGTGCATAGTATGGGATCATAAATACAGCAGAATTGTCCTCTTAGCTGCCCTACATGGAACTTAACTGAGCAATTCCTGCTTTATTTTCTGAAAAACCAGGTGTCATCATTCAGGTCAACTGCATCTGTATTTCCCTTCTGTGGTCCACCAAAGGTACCTACTCCAGGCTTGGGCAGAGGCAAAACAGTCACCTACCTTTTTATAACTTGTTTGTCATGATGTGTTCATATCCATTCCATTCTAAGTGTGCACATATGCACGTGCATGGTCATTGCAGATTTTTTGCCTTAGTGATATCTGTGGGGTTGGCAGGAGTGTCCTCTTGAGCGCCATGCCCATGTATATCAGGTGCCACTGGTCCCACACCCTCTCAGTTCCTTCTTTCATAACTGTTCTTCCAGAGCAACACATCTGGAAGAACAGTTATGAAAGGGTAAGTAACCTTTTTTACTCTTTGAGTGCTTGCTCATATTGATTCCATTCTAGGTGACTCACAAACAGGATCAATGGAGGTGCACTGAGAGTTCATGGTCTTGTCGTATGCAGTACTCATCTACTGAAGCCAGCACTGTCCCAGGCCTGCTGGGTAAGTGCATAATAGGACAGGTACCTGAGCCAGGAAGGCTGCTGATCATGCTTGTGCTCTAATTGAGTGCATCCTGACTACTGCTGGTGGAAACACTTTTGCTAGCTCATAGCAGAAATGGATGCAGGCTGGGATCCAGAATGAAATACTTAGAGCAGACAGTGGATGACCCCTCAGAAAAATAATACTGACCTCAGCCTGTCTGCCACTCTGATGAACAGGAGCACTGTACTTGCAAAATTAATTTGTCCTGTCTGTGTAGAAGGCCAGTGTCCTCCTCACATCTAGGACATGCAACCTGCATTCCTCTTCTGATTTATGAGCCTTCAAGAAGACGACAGAAATATGTCCTAGCTGGTATGGAACTGAGAAACTACTTAGGGTTCGAATGCCAGATGTGGCTGTAACTGGACCTTATTCTTATAGAATATTGTATAGGGCAGTTCTGAAGTAAGTGTTGATACCTTGTGAGCAGATATTACTGCAACCAGGAATTAAATTTTTCAGAAGAGAAGGAGAATTGAGCAGGAAGCCAGAGGTTCAAAGGGGCGGGGGGACGGGGCATGAACCTTGACAGCATGAGAGTCAAGTCCCAGAGCGGGACAGAGGGTACCAGAAGTGAGGGTAGAGATGCTTCTGACCTTTCAGAAACGGGGTTGTAATGTCAGGAGTGAAGATTGACTTGCCTAGGAATGAAGGGTGGAAAGCCAAAATAGCAGATGGATGGACCCTGACTGACAGGAAAGACAAGCTCCCTGCAGCAAGGCCTGTGAGGCCCAGATATGTTGTTTTAAGGCCAGCATTTGAGCCCCTTCCACCTGGCCAGGTAAGTCACTCTGTTGGAGGGCTTTCTGCTACACAAAAAGGTTTACTAAACCCAGGTCAAGCATTTCTGCTCTTGTACATTCAGCCATGCAT